ACAGCAAGAATCAACAATGAAACTGCATCAAATTTAAAGGCTTCCACACGGCAGGGGAAACAATCAACAGAGTGAAGAGATAACCTGAAGAAGGGGAACAATTTTGCCAGTTGCTCTTCCAACAAGGAGTTAGTATCTAGAATATGCAAACAGCTGAAAAAAAAAAAAAAACCCTGAGGACTAAAAGACCAGAAGAGGCAAATTTGTTCAACAAATATGCCTCAAAAGAATTTTTAAAAAGCAGGCCCCCAAAATTCAAAGACCCAATCCAAAAATGGGCATCTGAGATGAACACACACTTTTCAGATGAAGAAATACAAATGGCAAATAAATACACGAAGAAAGGTCAACATCACTGGTCATTCAAGAGATGCAAATTAAAACAACACTGAGAAAAAAATGGCCATTATCAACCCCAGAAAAAAATGGCCATTATCAAAAAATCAACCAATAACAAATGCTGGAGGGGCTGTGGGGAGAAAGGACCCCTTCTCCACTGTTGGTGGGAGTGTAGACTGGGGCAACCACTGTGGAAATCAGTGTGGAGATTCCTCAAAAAACTAGATTACAGGTCCCATTCAACCCAGCTATTCCCCTTCTGGGTATTTTTCCAGAAGAACTGAAAATATACCACAGCAATATATGTGCACCCATGTTTATAGCTGCTCAATTTGTGATAGCTAAATCTTGGAAATAACCCAAATGCCCATTAACCAAGGAATGCATAAAAAAGATGTGGTATTTTTATACAATGGAATATTACTCAGTTATAAAGAAAGATATACTCAAGGATTTTATAGGTAAATGGATGCAACTAGAGACCATACCTCGTAAGTGAAATAAAGCAGACTCACTTGTATAAACGTTGGATTGTCTGCCTAGTGTAAGAAACTGAAAAACTAAATAAGATCCAAAAGGTACAGTAGATATTATTATGAAAGGGAAAGAAACTGCTCAAAAAAAGAAAGAACAACTGAGGTAAGGGAAAGGAGAAAAGAAAGAAGGGAAAAAATATACATGATAGCTAAGATAGCTGTACTACTAGTTTGTATTAGTTCATTGAAAGGAACAGTTAGTGCTTATACTGTTTGATCAATTTTGCACGCCTATATCTGGTAATCTGGGCAACTACTTTAAAGATAACAATATGCAATATAACAACCACTGTTAATTTCCTATCATTTTGTTTTGAAATTCTGTATCATTTTTATTGTTTTTCCTCTGTTTAAAAAAAGAATTTAAAAATGGCCAATAAGTATATGAATGAACACCCATCATCTACAGCCTTTACAGAAGTGCAGATCCACACTATGCCTAGATTGTTTCCCATCCCTGTCAGAATGGCTGTCATCAAGAATACATAAAAGAATAAATGCGGGGGCTGGGGATTTAGCTCAGTGGCAAAGGGCCTGCCTGGCAAGCACAAGGTCATGAGTTCAGTTCCCGGTACTGGAGAAAAACCAAAACCAAAAAAAAAAAGAATAAATGCTCATGACAAAGCAGGAAAAAAGGAAGCCTCTACATTGCCACTGGGAATATAAAACAGTCACCATGGAAATCTGTATGAAAGACTCTCAAAAACACCCTAAAATTACAACTACCACATGAGCTGTACCACGCCTCAGCATGTATTCACAGGAGTTAAAGTCAGCATCTATAGTGCGTACCTGCAGAGGGGTAGTAGAGGGACACCTGCATATCGATGTTTACCACGCCAGTACACACAGTCTGGGGATGTCTGCATGCACATGTTGCTATATTATGACGCCACTCATAATAACCAAGGTTTGGGACCAGCATAGGTGTGCATCAAGGCATGAAAGGAGAAAGTGTGGTGTGTATATGTAATGTGGTATTATTCCACAAAAAACGAAATGTTATGTCATTTCTAGGAAAATTCATAGACCTATCAATCAACAGGTTAAGCCACACTCACAAGAAATATATTGCTTGTTTTACCTAATATGTGGCATCTGAAAAACTAGGGGACAGGGAAGAAGACTATTACATGAGAAATGGAGAACAAGGAAGGGGAGGAGGGGGTAAGGCAGAGCAGTAGGGTGGGTAGGATCAAATAGGTTATATGCATTGTGCAAATACTACTTTGAAACACTACATGTTGTAAAATTAATGGGTGCTAATAAAAAATACAGGTAAGAAAGCAAAATAGTGTGAATCACATAAATAAAAAAAATACAGGTAAGAAAGCAAAATAATGTGAATCACATAAATAAAAAAATACAGGTAAGAAAGCAAAATAGTGTGAATCACATAAATAGGGTAAGAGCAGAATGTGAACCAACAGTACAGACATATGTGGAGTGTGCACTGGGCCACCGTGTGGCTTGTTTCTTGCTCTTTCAGCCCATCCGCTGGCTTGGATCAGAGGATGCTGTTTTAGGCTGTCATCAGTATGACAAAATACCTGGGAAGACCAACTTGAACAGAGGATAAATTCAGGCGCACAGTGTCAGAGGTTTCAGCCCGTGGTTCTTGGCCCCATTGTTTCTGGGCTGTGATGGAGTCGAGCTTCACGCTGCAGAAGATGTAACAGAGGAAAGTGGCTCCTTTTATGGAAGGCAGCAAACAGAAGGATGGAAAAAGCCAGAGGGTCAGGAAGGGGTGGGACCAGATATAACCCCCAAGGTCGTGCCCTCAGGACACCCTTCTAGGTGCTATCTCCTCTTTCCTCATCTCTCACTGATGCCTTCACATCATGGCAATGTCAACATATAAAAAATCTAGATTTTTTTGTTTAATCTTTTTGAGATGGGGTCTTGCCATGCAGTTCAGGCTGGTCTTGAGCTCACTTTGTAGCCCAGGCTGGTCTCCAACTTCCAACAATCCTCCTGCCTCAGCCTCCTGAGTGCTGGGATTACAGGTGTGCGCCACCGCACCCAGCGAAAATCTAGATTTTTAATCCATTGACTATATAGTATGATATTGGAGGCTATCTCACTGAGAAAATTCTGAGCATGGCCTCAGCATGCAGACTGTAACATGGTAGTGCCGACCATAACATACAGAAAATCTCCCGGGATTCTTGTTACAAAGCAGATTCTAACTGTGTGTGGGACTCATTGGTGAAGTCAGAGCGCTTGGCATCCAGTCACCTTCCCACCTTCCCACCTTGGCATCCAGTCACCTCCCACCACTTCCGCATCCAGAACACAGGTGCTTTTAGGGAGACATTTTTATCTAAACAGTAACAGTCAGAGCAATGGAAAGTTCTGGGTGCTGGTGAAACTTACAATTATAGAAAATCAACGCAACAGCAGGGTGTGAGGATTTGAAAAAAATTGAAATCCTGACACTAAAAACACAGGCATTTCCTCTTTCTCCACAGTGCACAGTGAGGAGGACTGAGTTCATGCCGGCACAGGGAAAAGTCAGCGTGGACGTGGGCCATCCAGACACTGGCTGAAGGCCAACCTGATTTCAAGCATGCAGAGGATGGAGGAATCTGCTTCCAAGAATTCCAACTGGCCAGATGGGAGATAATTTTCTCCCCAAAAGAAAACCACAATGGTTAACTGGGACAACCTGTGCTTGTGAAGGACCAGGCCACATATTTGTCTACCTAAGAGATAAATTAATATAATGTCACTGATATGCTGAAATTCAGTATATACAGTGGAAAGATTTAATTTTTTTAGTTTCCTCTTTGAAATACAAATTGATTTATAAAAATTCCACAACCCTCTAAAATAGAATTCCAGGTACTATCTCTCCAAGAGAGAATCATTAGATTAGTAAAATCTAACATCCATAGCTCCTAAGAGCACAGTGGAGAAACTTAAGAACAAATGAGAAATCCTGCAGGTGATCAGAGTGGAGGTGGAAGCAGCCGGGGCTGAATACAGACCATCAGCAGAGCTGTCCAACATGAATTAGCCCGGGCTGGGAAAAGGAAAAATAGTATCTCACACTGATTCCTCCCCTCCTGGGACCTACAGCTATTAATGCTAACAGGACATTCGCAGTCATACAAGTGTCCACTAATACCAACAACCACGTCACCCTGTTACTGAGCTTCAGCGGAATGTCAACTGTGGAAACTTAAAATTACACCTCTATGTATTTAAAGAGTGCATCATTTCTGCTAACACATCAGGTGAAAAAGGCATAAACGTCGTCCAAAATAAAACAGGACAGAGAATGAAGAGAGGACAGAGTGACAATGGGCCCCACTGCTGCCCAGGCGGGTCTCCCCCTGGTGGACTCGAGTGAACACTCTGCCTCATCCTCCAAAGTATCACATCTGTCACCACACCTGGACTACAGGACAAGCCTCATAGTGAGGTTTGGAGCTCAGGGGCCAGAGGTGTCTGGCAAAACATGCTAAGAGTGTAGTGAATGAAAAGTCTGGTAAAAAACGACAAAACACACACCTATGAGCTTAGTAAACTCCAACACAAGAAAGAACAAACACCAAGTTTCACTGTCACATTGTAGAGCATCAGTGAAAACAATCTTAAAAGCAGCTAGAGAAAGAAGATGCACATTAAAAACATTATACCACAGTGATATATACGCACCCATTTTATAGTGGCACAGTTGCTAATACCCAAGTCTTGGAAACAGCCCAATGAAAGAATAAAGATGTGGGTTTTTAAAAAAATACAATGGAGTACTACTCAGTCATAAAAAGGACAAACCTCACACATTTCTCGCTAATGGATGTACCTTGAGACCATACTCTTAAGCGAAATAAATCGGACACGTGTAAATATCGCATTGCTTGTCTAGCGTGAGAAACCGAAAGGGTAAATGAGAACCAAAATGTGTAACAGATATTGGGAAATGGGAAGAAAACGTTCAAATGGAAAGGGGAAGCAGGGATGGGGTAAGACTCAGGCCCAGTAGGACTCGCAGAGGACTTAGGGCAGAACCCCGAGACTCTGCACTGCGCCTGCGCCCGCTCCGGGCCCCACCACGGCCACGCCCCCCGCAGCGCCGCAGCTGAGACAGCCTCGCCGACAGAGGGCGGCCCTGCGCCTTCAGCGGCCCTGCAGGAAACCACGCCCCTCCGTGACCACGCCCGAGGCCACGCCCACAAACTCCTCTCCAACCGAGGAGGAGCAGTGGTGTCCAGGGGAAGGCGGGGCAGCCTTCCCTGAGGACAGCCGAAGCCCACCCGTCTTTCCAGCCCGCCCCAGCAGGCACACCTCAGTGCCAGCCCCCTCTGTCTTCTCCTCGGCCTGTCCCCTTCCTGCCAGGCCCCCTCTGCGTCCGCCTGGGTTCCTGATGCTCAGTCTCCCCAGCGTGGGACGACAGCCCTCTCCGTGTCTGGAAAGCAGCCTCAGATCCCGTGTGTCAGTGGCTCGAAAGACAGCCGTGTGGGACGGGTGGCGAACCAGGGCGCGGAAGTTTCCCTGGAGACAGGCGGCTGTGTGAGGGTGGTGGCAGCTGCCTGAATCCACAAAGGCGACAAATGGCACCGACTGGACACACATCTGTACCCGTCCTTCCCGGCTCCCAGATTCACTATCGCTGTGGAAAATACAGCCACGGGGGGCTGGTGAGAGGCCATGGGCCTGCTCACTATTTCCACTTGTTTCTTTTTCCTTATTTTGTTTTTTTCCAGTACAAGGGATTGAACTAGGGGTCTGCACAGTAATCTATATCCTCAGTACTTTTATCTTACTTTGTGATAGGTTCTTGCTAAGTTGCCCAGGTTGGGCTTAATTTGTGATCCTCCTGCCTCAGCCTCCCACAATACTGGGATTACAGGTCTGCACCACCACACATCACTTAGAGAGTCTTCTAAATCTATTATTATTCCATGGTAAAAATAAAATAATTCAACTGTGGTTTTACAGACTAGGAACAGACCACCACAGCAGTGGTGCTGGGCAGTGGGCAGTTTTCAGCCATATTATAATCCCACAGGACTACCGCTGCACGCGCCTTCCACCCGACTGAAATGACATGAGCAGCACATGATTGTACTAGATTAGCAGAAGAGGTAAAAGACGTGAACAATGAAACACTACAAGACATGTGGAGAGAAATATAAAATACATCCAAATGGGTAGGGATGCCATGCTCATGGCGGGGTAATATCTATAGGACTGAGAAGTCGGTTAGTCCAGAAATTGATGTATCAGTTCCAATAAAAACTCAGCAGTGCCTTCGTCCACCGAGGCTGCTATAATAAATACATTAGGCCGCGTAACTTACAAACAACAAAATTTATTGCTACATGTTCCGGAGTGTGGCTTGTGCAGATCAAGGCGCTGCAGACCTGGAGTCTGGCCAGGCCCTTCCTCAGCTGGTGGCTTCCAGCTGCCTTGGCCCCTGCTGAGGGGTGACATCTCCCTCCAGTCTGTCTGATGGGGCCGAACTCTCACCACCCGATCAGCTCCAGGACGTGGTTGCAGAGTGAAGTCAGAGACACACATGCCTGCCCCGGAGCAAGCTTGTTGCATCTGCGGAAGGTCAGCAGGCAGTGTGGCCAGGCACGGCTGCAGGGGCGCTGACGCTGGCTGGCCTGCTGGGGCCTCACGGGTGTGGGGCACTCTGGGCCAGCGGCGGCGCCACCCTCTTCAAGCTGAGTCCAATGTGGAGTCTTCCCGCAGGGCCACGGGCACGGGGTGGTGTGGTGGGCACAGCTTTCTGGAAGGGCAGTGCCGGGCTCTCACTGGGAGGGACTCTGCACGTGGCTCTGTCTTCCCAGCCAGCAGCTCCTCCCTCAAAATCACCACCCCTCATGAGATGCCGATCCTAGCACTGTGGGGCCCCAGCGAGGGCCTCATGCCCGCTGCGCTCTCCTAGGCGTCTGGCCTGCCGGG